GTTCTTGAAATGCTATTGTGAGACATTCAAAGTTGCTGATGCTCCTTCTCATGGATTACAGTGCTTTATGTGACCCATTTTGCATCTTTCCATAGTTGTAGGCATTTGAAATTTTCTCAATTGTGCTCTCTGTCTGTATCAATGACAATTAGCATAGTATGCATTCCTACACTCATTGGCACAGGGTGCAATGTAATGCAATTGCTGGGGAAAATAGTAGACCCACTCTGGTGTGATGGTGAGTATATCAGACATATTGGGAGCACACACATGGCTGTGTCTAGTGATATTGTTAGATGTGCATACTCTCACTTGTCAGGCTACATATGTACTGGATACCTCAATGTCATACTGTCTGAATCCTCAAACATTAAACATTGTGCTCTCATCTTGAGCATTCACTCCAAGATATCATAGAGTGGCCACAGGTAACACCCAATGCGGTACTGTTACTATTGTGTCATGAAAGCTGATTGGCAGCCTTGTGGCACCTGTGATTGTAGACAAAACTTCAAGATAGCTACAGAGAGGTCCCCCGATTTATTGGGGATTTATGCGATTTTTCTGGGCCCAAATCAGTAGGTTTTGTCCTCAGAATGAATATTCTGCGCATTTTTGACTGCTTTTTCGAAGTCACATGACCAATGACGTGGGGTCGCAGCAGTTGCAGCGAAAACACCGCTGCGAGTGTTGCGACCCCACGTCATTGGTCATGTGACTGGCTAGTGGCTATTGTGCCTGTTCTGGTACAAAAGAGACATGTATACAAAGATAGTGATGTGTAGCTAATGTGAACCATGGGAATGTACATTTCAGGCAAGTTGTGGGAGGGCTTATTGCACAAGAAGTATCACAAAAGCTCACAATGCCCTAAATGGTGAGCAACCTTCCAAATCCAGTAATTCTTCATAAAGTGAATGTCTGGTGGTTCATAAATTGCAGATAAATCAGAAGATATTCATAGAGCACTATGACATGTTTATGAGGGATGTGCCATTTACAATATGTTACCATATATGGAAGGTAAGCTATAATACCATGTACAAGCATGAAATCAGCCAACCTTGCCCATTCTGAGCTCTGTTGTGGCACCATAAAGCATTTTCATGATGTCTGACACACATGGCTATACTGTATAGGTCATGTGCTCCACATCTAGGGTGAAAATAAGAAGTTCAAATTCTGCAAAGTCTCTTGTGTTTTTTTGTATTTTGCATTTCCTGGCCTAACTAGCCACTATTGGGGCCCAACAAAATTACTGTAGACTCTATGAAACAAGGGCTACAAGTTGACTATATAATTGCCATACCCATTTGTGGGTGCTTACTGTTGCAAAAAGTGATTGATTCTATTGGAGCCCAGTGTCGCTGGTGAGGTCACATGCCATGCTCACCACTTTCCATATTGGGCTCCAAGCTAGACGTTACAGGAGGCCCAAGTCCATGGGGAATTGTCAGCCACAGCATTTGTTTGCAGGTGTTGGTGCAAGTCGCGTCGTCTGGGAGCCTGAAATTTGAAACTCAGCTAATGTAAGCATAGTAAGTGTTACTTATCTTTGATTATCTGGCGCTCAAACAGTCACATGCACTGTGGGAAAAGCCTGCCACATTGGGCTCCATGCTAAGCGTTACATTCTCTCCAGTCATAAGAATGATTCCTTCGTACCTCAGGGATCGTAATCCAGCACGGATCATGCGAGCGACATGGAAGATCCGGTGTGAGCCGTTTTCTAACCGCACAGTTGCAACTTGTCCGCTTCTCAGAGAAGAGGGCTGCATCGTAGAGGAAGTAGTGGATGGGTTGGATGAATGACTTGGAGCGTCATGATTGGTGCGGATGGGTGGTGCTGCTGATACTCTGGCTCATGATTAATACCACGGCGTGTAGTACTCACAATATTTTGATAGCTAAGGAACACAATATCAAAGTACAGAATCCATGCACAATACCCGCTGCCCATGCCGGCTTTGATTTACCATGCCTTGGGCTTCCCGCTTTCCGCGGAATGACACCGGGTGGCCGGGGCGCTTAAGTGTGCAAAATTGGAAGTACTTTCAATCGATTGCGGTGTGACGTGTCTTGCGGCTTCTTTCTAACTTCTCCCCTCACCACTCACTTCCATCCACTCTGCCGGCTTTGCCGCTATGCTGCCCACCGCCACCCCCGCCAATGACTGGCTCTTGAATATCCTTGGGCAGAATATGGACTGGTTCGTCGAGGATGTATGGAGCAACTCGCGGGAGTGCCCGTTGTACACCGATCTCAACCACGTCTTGGTGATCTCAATGGAGAAGGACCACTTTGGCAAGATATATGACTATGTGAGTACTGCTCAGTGAATTCTCAAACACGTCTGACGATCTCAAACCAGTACATGCTGTACAACTCTAATACCTGCGCCATGGAGCTCAGCTCGAAGCAGGCGAGTGATGATGCTCGTGCAACTGCACTGGAGCAGGCACTGGAGTTGAACCCGCCCGCCAAGTTTGGCGGGTTCCTCCTCATGGCTGCGCTAGACGACTTATATGGCGAATGTGTGGCGAGGCCACTCATAAGCCAGTTCACGGGGAGCCTGGGGTCTGAGGGGCGCTTGGTGTTGGTAGAGGCGGTTGTGTACATCGACGTGAGTTATTTGCTGTCCTTCTCTGAACTTTTACTGACATGCACACTAGGATCGCTTCCCTGCCATGTCCATCCCCCTCATAGGGGTGCTTGACTGGACCCAGGGCAACAGTGTCATACCCGGGCCATTCGAGCAGCCGGTGCTCTCACAAGTGTTCCCGTACTTCAACCGGTACAAGGTGCCGAGCGACCCAGACACATGGACAATGTTCGACATATACAGTCCAGAGCTACAGTTGTTCGTCCCCGCAAGGATCGGGAACACTTTCCCCATCAAATTCAATCTGCATTGGCTCGCTGCCCCTCCCATCCTCAAGGTTTCGGGTGTTGAGGTCACGAAGGATGTAGTCGACCTCACCAACGGCAAGCTCAGGAGGGATCCAATGTGCTCGATGAAGCACACCTTCATTGAGATGAGGTGGGTCTGGCCCGTTTGCCTCCAAAAGCCCCGGAAGGTCATGGACGCGAATGGAGCATTGATCGGATGGTGGACGGGGAGGGTGGGTATGTGAAGGTTGCCGTGCCGCGCCCGCCGCCCGGGGCGGCTGGCTGCTTGGTCCGCTGGGCGTCGGATGGTACGTTGGTGGGCAAGGACGACTAAGACCATGAGAGAGAGTCCGACGTCAACGTGGGACGGGGAAACTGGTCTTGTAAATTTGTGTACTTGTAGCACAGCGGTCCCGGTCATCTTGCTTCCATCTACGTATGATATTCTAAAGAAGTCTGTATTGTGATTGCAATACTCATGCGCATGCCACAGCCCTGCTTCTGCGGCTATCCGTCTCGTCGCTCTCCAGGTCTCGCCATGAGCGGTAGTACATTCATCAACTTGACACTCACACCCCGCTTCGCCTTGCTCCCTGTGTGCGCGACCGTACCCGTACCGTATCCTTGCCCCGGTAGGTGTGTTGAGTCCACGAAGCACCCGTTCTGCTGGCTGATCTCGACAAATTCTGTTGTAGCAGGTCTTCACACCCGCCGTCCTGCTCATATTCCCCGGTTAGTACTTCCAATCTGCCGCACCCAGCCTATCAGCAAATCTGTGCGCGCTCTGAGGGCGCCTGAAGGATCTTAGGCGTCTGATCCGGTGCCCAAGAGCTCTGTTGCATGTGATGCAATTGGGTGTCTATGGTCGCATCATTCATCCCCGTTCGTCTGCTTGCTCTCTCAGAGTCCCTCAGTCGATGCTCAGACCGTCAGACCGTTCAGCTCCCTTCAGCCGCTTTGCTCTCCAGCCACCCTATCCTGTCTCCTAAGTCCACTGGGCGCCTGCCCTAAACACTGCGCCACACCATGTCACGTCATCCTCACTCCCTTCAGCCAACCTCCGACCACTCCCTCATGAATGATCCGACAGCTTTTCCAGAAGATGGACAGCATCCCGGACTGAGCATCATGGCAGACTGCTACGCTCACCTTCCCTGATCGACCAGATGAGAAGCACATGGTGCGGTACAGGGACATCATCGAAGCGATTAAGGCCTTGGTTGGCAATCCAGCGCATGCCAAACATATTGTATACCGGCCCAAACGAGTCTTTGCGGACCAGTCGCGGTTGAGGCGCATATACACGGAGATGTGGACGGGCCTCTGGTGGGACACCGTACAGGTAAGTCAGACAGCTCATCAATGGTACAACCAGTAGAATGTTGCTAATGCTATGTTCCGTGCTAGGAACACTTACCTGAGGGCGCCGCCCTCGCGTCAGTCATATTGGCCACCGACAAGACTCAGCTGACACAGTTTTCCGGTAACAAGTCTGCTTACCCCGTCTACCTCACCCTCGGCAACATACCCCGCGCCATCCGCCGCAAACTGTCCGAGCACGCTTGTATCCTTCTTGGGTACCTGCCTGTCTCTAAGGTCAGCAAGAAGGGCCTCACCAATCGCGAAAGCAAGGCTCGAACGCAGAAGCTCTTCCACGCTTCCATGCGCCTCATTGTCGAGCCCCTCATCAAAGCTGGTGTTGAAGGTGTGGAGATGACCGGAGGTGATGGCTGCGTGCGCAGGATATATCCTATCCTCGCCGCATATGTTGCTGACTACCCCGAGCAATGCCTCGTCACTTGCTCGAAGTACGGGACCTGCCCGAAGTGCCAATGTCCAGCGGACAAGCTCGGGGAGAAAGACCCGAGCAGCCCTCGCACATCCAAGCTCACAGAGAGTATCATCAACGATGCATGGTTGGGTGGTCGCAGTGCGGCTGCGGCTGAAGTCGAATGCATGCTACGGGACGTGAACGGTGCAGCGCGGTCACCGTTCTGGACCAATCTCCCTTACGCAGACATGCATCTATCCATAACACCAGATGTTCTCCACCAGCTTTACCAGGGGGTGTTCAAACATGCCGTCACTTGGTGTCAAGAGCTTCTCACCGCAGAGGAACTAGACAGCCGCCTCCGATGCCTGCCCCCTGCGTACGGCATCCGTCATTTCCGTAACGGCATCTCCTCTCTTTCTCAGATATCTGGGAAAGAGAGGAAAGAAATGGCTCGAGTCCTCCTCGCATGTCTCGTTGGCAAGGTCTCAAAGTCAACAATGCTCACCTTCAGGTCTCTGTTAGATTTCATCTACTTAGCGCAGTACCCCACGCATGACGACACTACCTTGGAATACATGGAGGATGCACTCAAGATGTTCCATGCCAACAAGCAAGTGTTGGTCAACCTCGGTATATGGGATGATTTCAACATACCTAAAATCCACTCCCTTCTGCACTATGTCCAGTCCATCCGGCTCTTTGGGATGACGGATAACTACAACACGGAGATGTTCGAGCGACTTCACATCGACTTCGTGAAGGACACTTGGCGAGCATCAAACCACCGCGACGAGTTCCCGCAAATGATGCGGTGGATCACCCGCAACGAGAAGATGGCTCTCTATGAGATGTTCCAGAGGGAATGTCAAGCGGAGGAGGATGCTGAACACCCGGAGGACGAAGAACATGCCGAGACCGGTTCATCGGTACCAGAAGAACCTCCCCACTCTGTCACAACGGAAGGCGTGGACATAGCGGGGACATCTATCAAAATAGCGAAGTACGCACCTGCTCCTCAACAAAACCTAGCTATGGTTCAAACCCGCCATCACGCACCCGGATTTACGACCGCACTCGTTCAGTTCATCAACACTTTGCAGCCTGACTCACTCCGACTCAACAGACAAGACCTCTCCAGAACGTGGCTGCCGTTCCAGTGCGTCGATGTCTTCCACAAATTCGCATTCACGCCTTACGAGCTGGACGACAGGAGGATTGACATTGATGTTGTGAAGGCCATACCGGCTTCGGTGCGATCAGGGCGGAAAGACCGCTTCGACACCGTCATCGTGTTGGAGAGCGGAGATGCGGAGTCCACCGGCATATGAGGTAAGTAATTGTTTCTATACAGGGACAAGAGCGGGGAGAATGAAGGTTATCTTCGCTCTACCGCGCAAGCTCCCTGTGGTGCAAGGCGGAGGGTCTGCACCTCCATGGTGGCCACGGGGTCCGCTCGCGTATGTAGAGTGGTACACTCGCTTCGCGCCTGCGGCTGACTCCTCCCACTTGATGTATTCAGTCAAGAAACCGCCGTCCTCAAGCAATGGTCTGTCGCAGGGGAAGATTATTCCCCTGTCGCAGATCCGGCAATCCTGTCAGCTTACACCCATTTTCCCCAGCGGTCCTTGCGGCACTGTTCCCGACTCCTGGTCATCGGAAAACATGTTAGAAATGGCTAGTACTTTCTACGTTAACAACTGGGGTGGGTTGTATGCGTACCAAACACTTTGGTAGCCTCTAATAACAAGTACAGTTAATCCTGGTCTCCAGTGCAGCATTCTACGCCTACAAAATTGGGAGCGCCAATGGGTCCCGTGTTCGGCGCTAGTGGTAAATTAATCACTTCTCACGCCTCGTTCAATGCTTTGGCGTGGCTTTCGTACTCTCTGAAAACACTTTTGCTCTCTCTTATCCTCTTCACCGTCCACCCGTCCACCATCATGGCTTCTTTGGATCCTCGCATTCAATTCCACATCTCTACCTTCATTCCTTCCTTCGGCGACGTTTGCAAGAAGGTCAAGCGGTGCCCCCATGTCCAGAAGGGTTCCCTCAACCACCTCGCCATGGTTGAGATATCGAGGACGGGTCTGGGGACCCTGTGGAGCCATGTGAGTTACAAGTTCCATGATGAGTCTTGTTGGATACTGACAGAAGCATACATAGTGCCCGAGGACTGTCAAACCCTGCCGTACCTTGCCCAGCAAGTTGCAGCCGAACGACGATGAGGTTGCCGCGGCGCGCCCGTCCATCAACGCTGTACTGCCGGAGGAGGGCCCAAACTGATTCATTTTCGTCGGCGGCATCAAGGCGTGGCACAAGAGCCCCGAATTCCCAGAGTGCCTTCGAGGGACGGACGAGATAGGAATAGTGGAGGTATTCTTTTATTACCGGGTGAGTTTGTCAGTCTCTGCATGTATGTATACAGGGCTCAAAGTAACTGGGCAGGATCACGTTGCGCCCATCCAGCTGCCCCTCATGTGCCGTGTACATGGGGACTGGGAGATAGAGCTGCCGTTCCGCCAGCCGGTCACTCAGGAGGTCATTCCATGCCTCAATGGCTGGAAGAGGGACCCTAAGGAGTACCCGGCACGCTTCGACATTTACGACGTCCAGCAAGCTAAGTTCATTCCCCTCGGGTCCGTCAACGAACCCATTCGCATCCCCCTACCCCTTCGGCACGTCATCCTTGTTAAATACGAGAGTATCTACGACACCATGTGGCCCCTCTACTGGGCTAAAGGGATCCGCCCTTCAGGGGCTCTGGGTGGAATCCTGGCCAACATGTACCCCGCCCGTCCATCTGGCCCGTGGGCTTCAATTTCCCCAGGACCCGCATCAACACGTTGTCCGTGGTCCGGGTTGAAGGCAATCACCGGCCTCACGTCTTCACGCCAGCGGAGGGCGATCCGGACTGTACCGTGGAGAGAATGAACGTTCGAGAAGATGAGGTCTCAGCAGATGGGGACTCGGATGGGGACTCGGATGGGGACTCGGATGCGGAGGATTGGGATGGTGAGACGGCCATGGGGGACTGAGGAGATCTGAATACATGTACATCCCATCTTTGTAACCGTCTGTGTACTATTTTTTTGAAGACTGAATAACAATGTCCTAGTGTAAAAGTACAAGAATGCAAAAAAATACACATGAGTCCGAAGCGCCTATGTCTTGGTGTGTCTCACGCATCCCCGAACACTTTGACTCGTCTTTTTATCACTCTCAAAAGGATTTCTACGCACCCTGCTTTGAGCTGCCGTCCATCGTCTTGCACCATGGCTTGCCTAGACCCCCGCGTAGTTTTCCACATGTCGATGTTCCTGCCATCCTTTCGCGATATCTGCAGAACCGACCTGACGTGCCCCAATACGACGACGCCGGGCTCTGCCAACCACCTCCTTGTGGTCCAAGTCTCGAGGACGATGGGAATTGGGACCTTGTGGGAATACGTGAGTGTCAGAACATTCGCTGGCTGTAGAGTACTGATGAAAAAGTGTCAGTGCCCCATGTCTGAACTCTGCAAGACGAGGAAGTGCGCCATTCAGCCCAACCGGGTGGATGTTGCCATCACCCGTCCGTATATCTACACCCTGCTGCCGCAGAACTGGCAGGCGCGGTTCACATTCATCGGCACGATATCGAGTTGGAACAGAAGCCCGGGAGTGCCGCTTTGTCTTAGAGCGGAGGGTAGGAAGGCGGTGGTGGAGGCGCTATTCTACTACGAGGTGCGTGTATTACAATGATCTCAAAGCAACTAAGGAGGCTCACACAAGGCCCGTAGGAGGACGTGGAGCCCTTGATACTCCCGTTGCTGTGCAGGGTGCACAACAACGAGATTGAGGTGCCGCTCCGCCAGGCCCTCACGGAACAGGTCATCCCTTGTCTCAACCGCTGGAAGCGGGTTCCCGGTGAATTGCCCAGGACCTTCCAGATCTATAACGGCCGGACACGGCGGTTCCAGGACCTCACTTCCATTGATCATCCCATTCATGTTCCCCTTCGCCTTACCTGCATCATCATGTTCAAGTACGGGCACATCATCGCCACTCCATACGCGCACATGTACGGTCCTGGCGACTGTCCGTTGCGTCCTCTGTGCAGCCTCCTGGCGGGGATGTACGACGTGCGGTTCATCTGGCCGGTCAACTTCCCTTATCCGCGCCGCCGCCTCAATGCCGTATCCCGCGTTCACGGCGGGGAGCTCGTCCACCAAGACGACCCGGAGTGCACCGTGGAGATCGTAGAAGGTTAGGGGGACGTAGGCGAGGGCCATACACAGTGAGCGGGAGTGCGAGAGTGCCGGATTAGGGTGGTGGATGCACTGGCAAGGCTGCGCGTTGACGCGACCGAAAAGAACACAAAAGCCACACAAAAACCCAACCGTGAGGTCGAGCAGTGGTATGCGAGGCCTCTGCGTCTATGAGATGTACGGGGGACTGTACAGTGGTCTAGGTAAGAAGGAGGAGGACGGACAAGACTCCGAATGACGTGGGAGAGCTTCGAAGATGTCGAAGACTGTTTGAAGACAAGGGCTAAGCCTCGAAGGTAGGAGGGAGGGTTTCAACAGACGTGTCGAACGAACGGTGACAAGGAAGGCGAGCGACGGCAGGAGGAGAAGTGTAGAGCCTCTCGGGGCAACTACAAGTGGGCGAACGTACTGGCGAACTGACTGGCTGACTTCGAACGTACTGACTGACTGGCGAACTTGCTGACTTCGAACGTACTGGCTGACTGACGAACCTCGCCGGTGCGAAGTGAGATTGAGAGGGTAAGGGGGGTCTCTGAGATTCGAAGGGAACCAGTCCCCGAGTATATACAGGGAAACACGGCTATTACCACTACGGAGCTCCGACGGCCCCAAACATCCGGCTATGGCTTCTAACACGTGACAACTGCTCTCGGGCTCACTAACCAGTGGTCCGAAGGCCGACCAGCTATCACATGACACCGGAAACCGAGACCACTTGTTGAGGATGTGAGACGACCTGCAAGGACTCACTGGACATCCTGTAGCATCCTATGGTCTCGCAGGAGATCTTCTAACACCGTAGCACGTCTTCTAACATGTTCGAGTGTCTTCTAACACATAGTGCATCTTCGAGTGACCTGCGTGCTCTGTGGTCGTCTAGATAGGTGGGTAGGTGCTCCTATAGCGTCACTGAGGTGCCGGAAGGTCGCGGATAGTCTTCTAAGATGAGCCAGTGTAACGGATATTCCCGTTACGGTATATCTTACATTACATATTTGTCCTTGTTTGCTCCAGGACTCGTATGGCGCGCCGGCGCACCTACGAGTCCTCAGCCTTCACCTCGTCACCGCCTTTGTATGCAATCTGTAGACAGTACCTCTTGAATAGAGACTGGGTGCAGCGCATACGAGGCACGACGAGTGAGGCGACATTACACTTTTTTGCGCTCTAGAAGACTTCTACTCTGGGGATCTACTCTAGGCAACAACCTCGAAACCCGACTTCGATATCTAGCTAATCGACGTCAACAACTCCTCTATGCTACTTTGATCACCTTCTGGCCAACTCGACAACTCGACAAGATGTCCGAGTCGACCACCATTCCGCCCGCGCCTTCGCATAGCAGCCGTGGTTCCCGTTCGGGAACCCGCAGCAAGCTGAAGGCTTTGCGCGCGGAAATCAAGTCCAAGCTCACAGCCAGTCAAACCCGGATCGAGCGGACTCTCGCAGAAGCCGCCGAGAGCCAACGGCGCATTGAACAAGCCTTCGCCGAGAGCCAACAGCGGATCCAAGCCGCTCTCGATGAAGCCAAGCAGACCCGTGAGGATCTGCTTGTTGTAGTGGACGAGGCACTCGCGGAGGCTTCGAGTAGTAGCAGCCGCAGCCGCTCGTCCGCTGGCAACACTCCGAAGAACACTGCGACTGAGATCTCTGAGCAAGAGAGCTCAGTCGAGGTCGCTACGGAGCAGGTACTGCCCGACCGCGGGGTCGAACAAGCACCGCACGCTGAGCAGCCCGAGCCCGCCGTCGAGTCTGCGCAGAGCCACCCGGAGAGTCCATCTCGGGTTGCTCCAGCCCAAGCCGCGAAGCCAGGCACCATCCCAAAGGATGGTGCAGGCGTCGAGTTCGATGACCTACCTGTCACCGAACTCTCACCCGAACTGAGCAAGTGGTGCGCCGAGTCGACGCATCCCTACGCTCAGGAAGGCATAGGTACACAGTACTACAGTAGTACTGTGTACAGTGGGCACGAGCCCACGCGTGTAGATACGCCCGTCGCGTGCTCAGAGATGAGCCGCGACACAAAATATATATATTCATTGTCGCACGACGCGCGTGCCATGTCGAGCGGCTTGCTCGACGCGACACGCGACGCGCTCGACCCGATGGGCGTCGAGCGCCACGGGTCCGTGGCGAGCGCCCCGAGTGCTAGCGCCCAACGCACTGCACTCGACCGCCACCACCGACCCCTCGTCCTCGACCACTTCCACACCCTGGGCAGTCAACCCGAGCGCCCGTCCGGCGAACCAGACGCGCACGCCGCCCCAACGCGAGTGCGGACTCGCGTTCGCAACTGGCTGGCTGACTTGCCGTCAGTCCAGTCGGTGGCGACCGACGACCTGGTACCACGCGGTACCAGATCGCCACTACTTTCCTCCCCGGCTCCTCGCCTCTCACCTCTCGTCTCGCGCCTCGACTTGAGAGGTCTCCCCCTCGAGTCTAGTGACTCTGGCAACCTCTCCCGTGGCTCTGGCGACATGCAACCCAGCCACGCGACCCAGGACTTGAACGAAGCGCGTTCAAGTTCAGCGCCGAGTAGCAGGACCGAGCGAACAATGAAGGACGCGGAGCGAGGAGAGCAGAAGGAGTACAGGGAGACGGCGAGCGATAGCGAAGAGGAGGAAGAAACGAAGGGACAGAGAGAGGAAGGGTGCGGGGCGAGCAGAAAGCATGAGCACGAAGGCTCGACTCCTGCAGGTACGTACTCACCGTACGTCTTTGCATGGCCGCCTCCGCTCCCTGTGCCCGCGTCAGTAGGCGTAACGACGAACGAGGGGTTCGCTGTGCGTACTACTGACCACGAAGACGGCATGTCCGTCCCCAGGTACGACTGCGAAGTCGTACCTGATACTCCGTGTGGTAGCACATCGGTGCTGCGGGACGACTTCCAGGTCGTACACCCCACACATCCCAGTATGCCCGGGCCAACAGGTGTATCGACGAACGCGAAGATCGTCGTACGCCCTGTTGACCACGCACATCGCACGCACGGGCCCCGGTACAATCTACAGGCTGTACCGGGCAGTACGCACGGCGACACAGTGGACGCGCACGACTGCATGTCCGACGTGCCCTGCGGCTCCATGAACGCACCCAGAGCGTCAGCGACAAACGGAACGTTCGTCGTGCGCACTGGGGGTCATGAGGATCGCGTGGATGCGATTCGGGACGACCTAACAGTCGTACCCTCCACTCTGCAAGATGGCACGCTTGCGCCCTGGGACGACCTCGCGGTCGTACCATACACTCAGCAAGGCGACACGACGGACGCGCAGTATCGCACGTCCGACGTGCCCCACCATTCCGCGACTGGCTATCGAGTAGCGGATACGCCTCAGGCGGACATATCCACCTCGACGCCTATCCCCTTGTGTGCACCTGTATCAACAAGCGTAGCGACTAACGAGGAGTTCGTCGTACGCGTGGCTGGCCAAGGGGACGGCAGATCTGTGATGCAGGACGACCTACCGGTCGTGCCTGCCGATCTGCAAGGCCACACGCCTGCATTGCGGGACGACCTCGCGGTCGTACCGCCCATCTCGCAAAGCGACACGGCGGACGCGCAGCAGTGCACGTCCGACGGGCCCCATTCACCCATCACTGACCGATGGATAGCGAGTACGCCGAGATTGATGCTCGACGTACACGCTACCGACCAGCACGAAGGGTCGAGAACTGAAGGTACGCCCCTGATGGACGTATCCATCTCGACACCTCCTACCTTCCCCGCGGAGGCAGGAGAGGCAGATGGGAAGGGTCCGGCAGAAGGAGGAGAGGGGGAAGGGTGCGGGGCGAGCAGGGAAAGCGAGCAGGAGGGCTCGCAAGTCGAAGGTACGCCCATGCTGGACGAACCCACCTCGCCTCCGCCTGTGCCAGTACCCCTGCGAGCGTGCGTATCGATGAACACGGAGTTCATCGAGCGTACCGCTGGTCACGGAACCAGGTACGACTGCGAAGTCGTATCTTTCTCTCCGCAAAATAGCACATCTGTGCTGCGGTACGACCTCCAGATCGTACCTGGACCTTCCACATGGCAAAGCGACACGGCGGACGTGCAATACCGCACGTCCGACGTGCCCCACTGGTCCGCAACCGGATGTCGAGTAACGGGTACGCCCCAGATGGACGTACCCGCCCCGATACCTCACCTCCATCAGGAAAAACCAAAGTGTCTTATTATGTCTTTTATTGGCCATTTAAGAAATGAAGATCCTTGAAGACGGTAATGACCAATTTACACAAGTCGGTTTTATAAATGTGCCCAAAAAGATGTGTTAAGTGCTCTTAAACAGGGATCCACAACATTAATGCAAATGAAGCAGGGACCCACAACATTAATGTGAATTAAGCTGTTGCTGGATTCTGGTAGGTTGCTTTGCTTTTATTCGCTTTTCTGGTCTTCAGCGCACTTAATCTTACTTATGTTTGCAATAATGATTGTGGGATTTATTCCATACTGGTACAACATGATGATGACACTTGTATACTATCTGGTAACTAAACAGCCCTACGACTGACGGCGAGCGAACGACGGACGGATGACGGGCCGGGGCGACGACCGGCGACGACTGAGAACGAAGGACAACGGAGGGCGACAACGACGGATGGAGGATTGATCGACGACGGACGGACGAAGGACGGCGAGCGACGGACGACGGCGACGAACGGGAACGGCGACAGCGACGAACGGCGACAGCGCGACAGCGACCGACGAACGGCGACAGCGACGAACGGCGACAGCGCGACAGCGACCGACGAACGAACCACGACGACGCACGACGATGCACGACGACGCACCACGACGCAACGCACCACGACGCACCACGACGACGCACGACGACGACGCACGACGACGACGGAAAGCGACCGACGCACGACGACGCACGACGACGGACTGCCCGACTATGACCGGATCGACTGCCCGACTATGACCGGATCGACTGCCCGACTATGACCGGATGGACGGACGACGGATAGACGACGGATGGGCGGATCGATGGACACCGGATCGACGGACGAGAGCCCATTCAGTGGAAAACCTCGCTGTTAACGGTACAGCCGGAGTGCATTTTGACCGTTGCAAACGGTAGAGCCGCCTCCGGCCGGAGTAGTCCGGGTCTACTGTTAGCAACAATGCACCGCTTGCAACAGGCCGGCCGGGCTTTTGGCTGAGGCAATGTACCTGTTGTAAACAGTCCGGTCGCAGAGGCAACAGTCCGGCCGGACCCATACAGCATCACTGCAAACAGGCCGGGTGGAGGGCAGGGTTAGCACACACAACGGAGCGGCCGGCCGGTCCACGTTGCAAACAGAGTGGCCGGACTCAGGCCCCACCACTTTAAATGTTCCGGCCGGGATAAAATCCTTTCATTGCAAGCGGACCGGCCGGAGTGAAGTCTATCTGGTCCAGAATGGGTTGGCCAGCCTAAACAAACTGACTCCACGAACAGGCCGGCCGGGCAGGAGTTGTCCTGCTTCAAACGGTCCGGCCGGTCACAGCCCCCTGGGGGCTATTGAAATACTATATGTATTATGCACCTATGGGGTATACCATCATTAGTAGATCACAGCATAATTTTCCCATGACTTAGGGATGCCTAGTGAAGCTGCAAAACACAAAACAGCCCCACTGGCTGGCCAAATTAACTGGCCAGAGATTTCACTCACCCAGGTTTTTGCTTTACTGGCCATAAAATTAGCCAGGGTGTCCCTACAGGGCCAAATCAATAGGCCGGACATTTCAAAACATTGGCCGGGCATTTTAGTTCATTGGCCGAAGCTTTTAATTCACTGGCCGAAGCTTTTACTTCATTGGCCAAAGCCTTCACTTCATTGGCCAAAGCTTTTCTTCACCGGCCGAAGCTTTGGATTGACCGGCCGAAGCTTCTACTTCACCGGCCGGCAAAAACGGCCGGTGCTCGGCAGAAAATGGCCGGCTGGTGGGCAAAAATGGCCGGCCGGTGGGCAAAACCGGCCGGGCTGTTGAATTACTATATGTGGAAATGTGGTATTGTCTGGAAGCCCTTCATTCATAGAGTCTAGTATTGATTTCCTAGTGTCCAAAGGTACACAGTTAGGCCAGGATATGCGAGACAAGATTTACTCACAGGCTTCTTTGCAAAACATGTTATTCAACTGCTGAAGCCAATATTCTTTGCCCACACTGTTTGACTATCTAGAATATGTTATTTCAATGCATAGAGTAGATTCCCAAAAGGAATAGTCTTATTCTTCGAAGCTGAATGCAGAACATGAGATAAGGGGTAAGGTATAGTATACATGTCAAACAATGTTGACTTCCTGCAGCCAATCTACATTCCAAACACAGTTTCACAATCTAGAACGGTTCATTTACACACAAGGAGTGAGTCGTCCAAAGGAATAGTCTTATTCACATGAGCTGAATGTGGTACAGAGTTAAGGGGATCATGCACAGGCCGGACCATCTCCTATGAGGATTGGCCGGCCGGACCATTACCAACAGTGGGTAGATGTTTCTGTGCCATTCTTGATTGCCAAACCTTGTGGGCAAAGCATATTGGCTTCAGGATGTGAACACAGTATAACATGTATACCCATATACCCACCCTCACCTTAACTCTGTGCTGCCTTCAGCTTGTGTGAATAAGACTATTCCTTTGGAGGACTGATTCCTTGTGGGTCAATGAACTATTCTAGATGGTAAAACACTGTTTGGAAAGAACATTAGCTGCAGGAAGTCAACATGTATACCATACCTGTATACCCCTTATTTGTTGTCCTGCATTCAGCTTCAAAGAATAAGACTATTACTTTTGGGGATCTACTCTATGCATTGTGATAACACATTCTAGATTGTCAAACAGTGTGGGCAAAGAATATTGGCTTCAGGAATTGAATAACATGTTTTGCAAAGAAGCCTGTGAGTAGTAAATCTTGTCTTGCATATCCTGGCCTAACTATGTGTTCTTGAAAACTAGGAAATTGATACTAGACTCTGAAATGAAGGGCTCCCAGACAATACCACATTTCCACATATAGTAACTCAACAGCCCGGCCGGTTTTGCGCACCGGCCGGCCAATTTTGCACACCGGCCGGCCATTTTTTGCCGAGCACCGGCTGTTTTCGCCGGTGAAGTAGAAGCTTCGGCCGGTCAATCCAAAGCTTCGGCCGGTGAAGAAAAGCTTCGGCCAATGAAGTAAAGCTTCGGCCAGTGAGAAAAAGCTTCGGCCAGTGAGAAAAAGCTTCGGCCAATGAAGGAAAAGCTTCGGCCAATGAACTAAAATGCCCGGCCGATGTTTTGAGATGTCCGGCCATTTAATTTGGCTGGTGGCAGCTTCACTAAGCCCCTTTAAAATGTGGGAACACTATGTTGGGCTCCATTAGTGATGGTCTTACATATACAATCATTCAAATCACACTCTGTATCATAATACAATAGGCCGAAGGTTTTTGAATGCCCTCAGCCAGTGTTTGCATGGCTGGCCAGTGAGCTAACAGCTCAGGCAATGTGATAGGGCATGCACTGTGGATATATAATACATGCTACTAGTAGGCTGTTCTAAGGGAGTATGGTCTATTGTTGACTGGCCCAGCCAATACTGGGTCACAATACTGTTGCCCGGCCGGACCATTACCAATGGATGGTGCCACTGCCCGGCCGGACCGTTACCAGTGTGGAGTGCTAGATTATATGGCCTGGCTAGCCTGCTATCAATGTGGAAAAATGGTCCGGCCGCTCCGTTGCCAGCTAGAGATGATGCAACCCGGCCGGTCTGTTATTAGCCAGGGAGCATGTGCTCCGGCTGGCCCATTGCAACTGGTGAACTATGCACTCCGGCCGGCCCATTACAAATGAAGGATCCCATTTCCCGGCGGTTGTTACCATAGGAGAAAGAGTATCCCGGTTGATCTGTTACAATTAAAGCCCCTTATTGCCCGGCCGGTCCGTTGCCAGCAAGACACTAAATGGCCCCCCTGTTCAGACAGAAAATAGGTGCCCTAGGGATACACCGGCCGGACCGTTTGAACTGGTTTGAGATATGCTCGGCCGGCTTGTTTGAAACCAGTCCGGCCGGCCTGTTTGCAACAAGGAAATCACAGCTCCGGCCGGAGGCGGCTCTACCGTTTGCAACGGTCGAAATGCACTCCGGCTGTACCGTTAGTATCGAGTAGGTACCACTGAATAATGTGCGGACGACGGATGGACGACGACGGATAGACGGAGGATGGGCGGATCGATGGATGGGCGGATAGTGGATAGTGCGGACAGTGGATAGCGAATAGCGGATAGCAAATATTGGATAGCGACAACACGACGGATGGATGGATGTGGACGGCGGAAAGACGACGCAGGGCGAGCCACAAACCAACGCGAGACATCGAGAGACGGACGACGAAGACAGACGGCGACATGGCAGTATGAGGGAAGACGGAAGACGAGACACAACGTTGAGCCTTCGACGAGACACGACGTTGAGCCTTCATACTCAGGCACCTTCCTCAGTGGGTGTGCCCGCAACAGGTTCTAGACTGAGTGAGCAAAGCACTGATTCGAGTCGAGTGTGAACTCACCTTGCCCAGACTCTTGAAGCTCATCTACCTGTACTCCCTCACCGTCATCGACTTCGCTGCGACCTCCAGCATCACCTTCCCTGTCATCGCCACTGCCTGCCTCGCCGCCTGCCTCGCCCTCGTCACCCTCATCTTCCTGGTCACCACGTCGTTTCTTCCTAGACTTCGACGATGCGGCGCCTGCGCTCCGAGGTTTCTTCGAAGGGCTGGGAGGTGTCTTCTTCGAGCTGGGAGGTGTCTTCTTCCCCTTCGCCGACTCCGCGTTCTTCGTGGTCTTTGATGAGCTCGATGGCTTAGCTTTTGCTGCGCTCGACAAAGGCTTGGTCGCGGTCGCGGCCTTTGACGTGCCAGGCTCCTTGCTGTGGCTCCGCGGCTTGGATGCGCCACGGCGTAACTGCAGCAGCGGTATGAAGCCACCTGGCTGCTCGTCCCCCGACGCCTCGACTGCATCAGGTGCGGCATTGAGACGAGTGCTGTAACCACTGTCAGCAATTATCTCAGTCTCAAACTGAACGTTACCTGATGTCCTTCCAAATCAATTCGCGCGTCTCCTCCAGATAGTCGGTGGCTCGATCTTCCAAGGTCTCGAGAACTGCCATCACTCCATCCCATCTAGGATAGGCGAGTGTTAACTGACTACAAGCAACTCGATGCGATGTAAGAAATACTGACTTTCCCGCAAAATTCTTGTTCGAGAACACCGTCACAGTAGCTTGGTTGTGCGATGCCACCTCCATCAATGCTGCTTCGATCTGTTGGTATGCCATTGCATGAGTAGCTTAAAGCGTGAACGCAATAGGAAAGTAAATACTTACTGCATTGCACGAGAGGGCGATAAGGTTCAGCGGTACTTTGCTGAACTCTTCAAATGCAGAGTTGATACTCGCATCTGGGCGTCCCGCCAGGCCATAATACTGGTAGATCAGCTCTGGAATGCAATCACTTCGGAACGGTTCCGTCGGCTCGACCTTCGTACGCTAGGATGGTAGTTCATTCTCATGTTAGTTACTTCTGGTCTTGAATGC